GGAAGGAAAGGAGAATGAAGTATTCTTTATAAGGGTGTGAAAACTCTCCCTAGCAGACGTATTTTAAAAACCTTGAGGGGAATCCCGAAAGGGAAAACTCAAGGAGGACAATATCTGGTAGCGGTGGGCTTGGACCGTTACAAAGGGTATTAGAGCCAAGTTCCAGGCGATGTGTCAGCGAGGAGGCTGAGCCCCAAAGGGTGGTGAACATGAGACGGTGTGCCAACAAGGACACTGGCCTTGAAGGGGGTGGATTGGGGGTCCCACATTGATTGGAGAAGGGAATGAGTGCCAACGAGGATGCTAAACTTCGAAGGAGGGTGGATTGTGAGATCCCATATTAGTTGAGGAGGAGAACGAAACATTCTTTACAAGAGTGTGGAAACCTCTTCCTAGTAGATGTGTTTTAAAAACCTTGAGGGGAAGCCCGAAAGGAAAAGCCCAAAAATGACAATATCGGCTAGTGGTGGGCTTGGACCATTACAAATGGTATCAGAGCCAGGTTCCGAGCGATGTGCTAACGAGGAGACTTAGCCCCAAAGGAGGGTGAACACGAGACAGTGTGCCAGCAAAGACACTGGCCCCGAAGGGGGTGGATTGGGGGTCCCACATCGATTGGAGAAGGGAAAGAGTGCCTGTGAGGACGCTAGGCCACGAAGAAGGGTGTATTGTGAGATCCCACATCGATTGGGGAGGAGAACGAATCATTTTTCATAAGGATGTGGAAACCTTTTCTATCAGACGCGTTTTAAAAACTTTGAGGGAAGCCCAAAAGGGAAAGTCCAAAGAGGACAATATTTGCTAGCGGTGGGCTTGAACCGTGCAAATGATATAAGAGTCAAGTTTCGGGCGATGTGTCAGCGAGGAGACTGAGCATCGAAGGGGGGGTGAACACGAGACAGTGCGCTAGCAAAGATGCTGGCCCCCGAAGAGGGGTGGATTGGGGGGACCCACATCGATTGGAGAAGGGAACGAGTGTTGCGAGGATACTAGACCCTGAAGGAGGGTGAAGGAGGGTGGATTGTGAGATCCCACCTCGGTTGGGGAGGAGAATGAAATATTTTTTATAAGAGTGTGGAAACCTCTCCCCAGCAGACGCGTTTTAAAAACCTTAAGGGAAGCCCAAAAGGAAAAACTCAAAGAGGACAATATCTGATAGCGGTGGGCTTGGATCGTTACAAAGGGTGTCTTAACCGTTGAGTTATGCTCGTGTTGGCAATAAGTATGCCACTTAGCGTCTCTTGCTACAACAGGAATAAATTTGGCTGAACTGGATCTGTTCTTTATGTTCTTTTCAGCATCATGTTTGGAAGTTTCGAACTATCAGCTCATGTTTTATTTTGCTGGAACTTTTCTTATTTCCTCGTGTTTCATACAGAAATGCATTCAAACACGAGTTGACGTTACTCGAAAGGGTTCGACATCCGAACGTAGTTCAGTTTGTCGGGGCCGTTACACAGAATTTGCCGATGATGATCGTTTCGGAATACCATCCAATGGTATGGATGAACTTTCACACTCTTTGTTTTCAGCTTTTATGTCAACTAATTCCCTTTTCATTTTACATTCAATCTTCCAGGGTGATTTAGGTTTCTATCTTCAAAAGAAAGGTCGTTTATCTCCTTCTAAAGCCTTACGATTCGCCCTCGATATCGCTAGGCAAGTTCGGTTTTTCTCATATTGAGCTGAATGAGCTTCAAATAGCATTCTTATGAACAAGCATATTGATATTCTATACGTTCATAGGACATTTCGTTTCTAAGTTCGAGCCTTAAACTTTTGTATCGTAACGTTACGTAACCTTTTTTTATTATCAGGGGAATGAACTATCTTCACGAATGCAAACCGGATCCTATTATCCACTGCGATTTAAAGCCAAAGTAAGGCAACCATATTCAAAAGTTAAACTCGGGATGATAGTCGTTTCGATTTGAGATAGTTCATATTCTTCTTTAATATTGGAAGTTTTTGTAAGGTGCCAGAAATATTTTGCTGGATAATGGAGGACAACTCAAAGTTGCTGGATTTGGCATGATAAGATTGTCAAAAATGTCTCCTGATAAAGCAAAACTAGCTCAGCCAATGGTTACCGACTCTTCGAGTAAGCCGATACGTTCAACGATAAGCAACGTTATTTATTGTGTTTCGTTGTCTAACATATTGTGCCATGTCTAGACTTGTACTTAGCTCCCGAGATTTACAACGACGAAGTATTTGACAGAAGCGTCGATGCGTTTTCGTTTGGTCTCATTCTATACGAGGTATCGAAAATTAGATGGTCGCTTTACGTTGTTTTAATTGCTTGATAATAATGGCTTTTTTGTTTGGTTTTCATGGCCAGATGGTTGAAGGTATGCAGCCATTCCATCCTAGGCCTCCGGAAGAGTCGTCGAAAGCTATGTGTGTCGAACGAAAGAGACCTCCGTTTAAGATCAAATCGAAAAGTTATCCACCTGATCTAAAAGAGTAAGTGTCACCGTCAAGTGTTTCATGTTGTTCATATCAAGTTCTTGTGAAAATCGCGAATAAAACGTGGCATGAATGCTCAAAGGAAACAAAATCGAAGATTTTTGGAACGATGAAAGTGTTTTTAGCCTATTAGAAGTATTTTTCGAAATTCTCGAAAGTACACTCTAAGTTCAAAACGCTACTCTATTGGTAACGACCCAGGCCCACCGAGCAGATATTGTCTTCGTTTCTTTGGGCTTCCCTTTAAAGCTTTAAAAGGGGTCTACTCGAGGAAGGTTTCCTACTCTTTTAGTAACGACCCAGGTCCACCGCTAGCAGATATTGTCCTCTTTGGGCTTTCCGTTTCGGGCTTTCCCTTAAAGCTGTAAAAGGGGTCTACTCGGGGAAGGTTTCCACACCCTTATAAAAAGGTGTTTTGTTCTCCTCCCAACCAATGTGGGACATCACAATCCTCTTCCCCACCCTTATAAAGGGTGTTTTGTTCTCCTCCCTATCCAATGTGGGACATCACATCTATAGTGTGATAGTAAGGTCACCTTAAATCGACTTGCTCGACATCCTCGACAAAAGCTCAAACTTGCATAGTTTTATTTCAAACAATGCATCATAACTGTATAATAACTTTGAGCTGGTCGATGATCGTTAAAAGCGCACCGTAAACATGATTCTCGATCGATATGGATGCAGATTGATTGAGGAATGCTGGGCTCCGGAACCTGTTGTGAGGCCTACTTTCTCTGAAATTATTGTAAGGTTAGATAAAATAGTTGCCAACTGCTCGAAACAAGGATGGTGGAAAGACACGTTTAAACTTCCCTGGTACGTTCTTTTCACTCTAAAACTATTCTCGTTTGATAACGTTTTCGTTTCTCTCTTTTGGTTCTCGAATCTACCGGATTCGAAAACGTTCATAAAAAACGCGAACGGGGTGTTGTTCATAAACAAAAGACGAGAAACGAGACTGGACGACTCGAGCTAAGTTTATTAAGATTTGGGGTATGTGCAGGAAATAAGAAGGTAGGGAACTCAACCCATTGTCTTCAGAAGGGGGCAAAGTGATGATGAATGAAGGACAATTCTTAGAACGCCATTAATGAAATTCAAAGCTTTTTTTTTTTTTTTCTTTTTCTTCTCTCCATGAAATTATTGTCTCTCATTCATTTTCAGATTGTAGTGTCTCATGGACTTGAGGGGTTCCAGTGTAAAATGTGTGGAAAAGCTGTAATTTTGTTCTTTTTTTTGTTTCTTTTTTGATCTCTTTTTCAATACAAAAGGAAAATGTCATTTGTGCATGTTCGAACTCTTACTTGCAATGGAACGAATATGGTTTCGACACACTAATAATTAGCTTGTTACCCAGTTACGTGGAGATATAGATAGAGGTGTTTATGAGTTGGGTTGAGTCGAGTTGGGTCGGGACATTGTTTAAATTCAACCTAATTGTTTGGGTGCTGCTAGTGAGGGAACTCTTACTTGCAATGAAACGATTATGGTTTTGACGCACTCACAATTAGCTCGTTGTCCACTTACGTGGAGATGGGATAGAGGTGTTTATGAGTTGGGTTGGGACAGTACATTGTTTAAATTCAACCTAATTGTTCGGGTGCTGTTAGTGAGGGAATTCTTACTTGCAATGGAATTAATATGGTTTTGACGCACCACCAATTAATTCGTTGCCCACTTACGTGGAGGTGTGGATAGAGGTGTTTATGAATTGGGTTGGGACAGTACATTGTTTAAATTCAACCTAATTGTTAGGATGCTGTTAGTGAGAGAATTCTTACTTGCAATGGAACCAATATGGTTTCGACCCACCACCGATTAGTTCATTGCCCACTTATGTAGAAATATGGATAGAGGTGTTTTTGGATTGAGTTGGGTCGGAACACAACCTAATTGTTCGGGTTGTAGTTTTCTTTTTTACCGAGATAGTTATGAAAGAATGAACCCAACCTAACTCAACCATTGGTTGGGTTGGTTTGTATGGTTTATTTAAATCGTTTATAATAAAAGTAAACTTTTAATATATAAAACATTTATTTAATTATTTCGAATATTTAAAAGTTTAATTTAATAGTTGTTGGAGCATAAATAATTGAATTTTTTTATAGAATTAAATAAAATTATTTTTTAAGATTACGAATAAATTATTTTTTAATAATAAAATTATTAAAATATTTTTAAATTTTTTAATAATAATCTTATACTTAAAAAAATATAAAAAATACAACCGTCCGTTTTTTTTTTTTTTTTAAATATCTTTAAAATTTTACAAGCAATATTAATACTCTATGTCTTTATAAAAAAAAAATTAAACAAAATCATTTTACTTTTGAAAACATTTTTTTTTGTATTTTTTAAATAAATATTAACGAGCAATATGTTTTATTTTATTTTATTTTAATATTTAAGGACATTATTCAAATTTTTAAAAATTTACAAATGCAATTATTTTATTTTATTAATTTAGCAATTATCTAATTAAAAAAGAGAGATTATTTTCCTACAATACTTCTTCCGAACGAGCGCTCTAAGAACAAAACCTCAACCTCTCTAAAACCCCATTTCCCCGCACAGCCTCCTCTTCCCGCGATCACTCTCCCTCGCTTCCCTTTACGTTCTCCATTGTTGGCGCTCTCTACTGCTACCATCACCGGTAATCCTTCATCTCCTTTCTCTTACACTGTCTTTCTCCCCTTTCGTTTCTACTAAGCTGTTTACTCTTTGAAATTTGAGCTCTGATTGATGTTAATGAGCCTTTAGTGCATATGCAAACCGATTTTCTTGTTTCGTTGTGTTTCCACGCGCAATTTCACTGCCTGAAGGTTTGTGATTGTTGTATATGATGCATGATGAGATCTTGTACTGATTTTTGTTTGATTATTTATTGTGTCTTATCGATTATTGTTGGCGCTGATTATGAATTTTCATTTCTTCTGGAGTTTATTTGAATGGATGTTCTCTTTCGTTGTTTTCTATTCATTTCTTAAGCTGGTATTTTGGTCTCTGTCTGTGTAGTTTTTATCGAGTTGCAAGTGAAGAAATGAAGCACGAGTGGTTTTGGATTTTTTAGATTATTTATTGTGTCCAAAATGGTCTATGTTTATATTTTCCCATAGGATTTTTAAAAAATTCATTGTCCAGGTATTTGATTTCTCGGAAGAACCTTTTGCTCCAGCCGACTTCTCCAAAATTTCCTCCCTCCCTCTCCCTTTCTTTCTCTCGTTGTTACTATTATTTTTGAAAATCTATTAATTTTTTATAAGTAAAGATAATCTTATAAGTTGTAGATCGTGTTCTCTGAAAAGTGTCCTCGATTGTAACTTCAGTGTATACTTGTTAAATCTGTGTCATCTTATATGGAAGTTGAAGTTACGTTAAGAGAAAATATTAATTATTAAACTAGATATTGAAGCGCTTAGTAGGTGAATCTAGGTTCAAAATGCAGGCCCCGTTGTTTTGAAGTATTATTTTGGGAATGAGGTCCAGTGCATAAATAAGCAAAATTAAGGAGCAAAGTTACGAACTTTAAACTTTAAAACTTTATCTAGATGGTAAATAGATGGGGCAGATGTATGGTATTTCTTTTATTTAGAGAGTGGAAATTGTTAAATTAGCTCCTTCATCGTTTGTGATCGAGAAGTTGATACTTTGTGGAAGAGATCATCTTTGAGCTGCGATATTCAATTGTTTATTTTAGTTTACTAAAGGAATAAGAATACCGCTTTTGTAGCTTTCCGTGGAGTGGAACTACTCTGACGGAAACTCTTATGTGAGAAATTTTATGTATTTAATATTTCTAGTTATGGTGCACTAATTTGAAGTTTTGGATGTTTCTTTTTTAGCTGACGGTTAGCTTGCTCAAGAAAGTTTCGTGCATATATGCTCATAAAGATAGTACAGTTTGGTGATAATGGCTTCCAATGCAATTTTAAGACGGAAGAGGCTTTTTTCTCATTATGAGAACTCCTATATACGCACAACTCGATGTTTACAGTGGACTGGGAATGTTGGTCAGAATGATGGTTCACTTGGTTCTATTTCCAATAATGACGATCCCTCTGCTGTTTCTAACCATAGCATAGGAAATAGAATCAGACCTGAATTGCTTAATTTTACGGGAGTTCAGAAGTTTAGGCAAATATGCTATAGCATTCCGATGTCAGATCATGGGAATTTCAATGTTTATACTCCTGGTGGAATTGGATTGATGTCACAGTCCATTCGGAATGCTTCCACTTCTGCGGCTAAACAACCTGATTTGAGCAGTGACGATGAGGAGAACAATGAATTGGTTGCTAAAAAGAGGAAGGAAGCATCTCCAGAGGAATGTGATCAAGCTGTGGAAGGTCTGAGCACTGCCAAAGCTAAAGCAAAGGCTAGACGATTACAAGAGTCTCAAAGCATAGTTGCCACCTCTTTGCAAAGAGCATGGGCAATCGTCATAGGGATAGGTCCTGCTTTAAGGGCTGTTGCTTCAATGAGCAGGTTAACTTTGTTTTTTTTGTGATTTAATGTAAAAGTGGTCTGTTCATGGTAGATTTAAATATGATCTAATGAACACGGTCTGGTTTTTTTATTCATTCAGGGAGGACTGGGCAAAGAAGCTTGTTCACTGGAAAGAAGAATTTGTATCAACCTTACAACATTACTGGTTGGGTTTCAAGCTTTTGTGGGCTGATGTGAGGATTAGTTCAAGATTGCTTCAAAAACTTGCTGGTGGGAAGAATCTCTCAAGGCGGGAGAGACAACAGCTAACTCGGACCACAGCCGATATCTTTAGATTGGTTCCTTTTGCTGTTTTTATCATAGTCCCATTCATGGAATTTCTGCTGCCAGTTTTTCTTAAATTATTTCCCAACATGTTACCATCAACTTTTCAAGACAAGATGAAGGAACAGGTAACCCTTAAAATGCATGCTGTTTGTGGTTTGTTGCATCGTATCTATTTTGCCTAACTTTAATAAACCGTTAGCAATTTTTTGAATACCCATATATTGGTCACTAGCGAGCTTTTATTTATTTTACCAGTATGTTTGGATATCCTTGCTAAACCAGCACAAATATTTGTTTGTTTGTTTGTTTTTTTTTTTGCGTGGATAATTGGCCAATTTTCATTGTTCTGGTTTTTTATATGGGGAAGAGGTTTAAGAATGTGGCTTAATCATTCATTGTTTAAGGACTCTAGGTTGGTGGAGGTTTTAAACCATGGAGGGGAGGGATGGGAAGGTTTCAAATTTATGAGAAAATTTAGTCATGGGTTGAATAAGAGTGGAGGGACGAGTGACTCATTTAGTGGGGAGATGCTTCTTCTCCAAGACGCAGGGGGAGAAAATATGTAAGTCAGAGCCTGAAATGTAGAGGTAAATGAGTTGAGGAGGGTGATTGCAATCTAGCTTTCTTTCTTATAATTTCAATTTGAGGGGGGGAGAGAGGGAGAGAGAGATGTTGAAATATCATCACAAGCCCAATAGAGTCAAAGCCCAATAATTGTACATTGTATATTTATTTTAGTAGAGATTTTAGGAAAGATATCTGATTTTAGGAGAAAGAGATCTAGATATTTTAGGAAAAATATTCAGATTTGTTAGATTTAGATTTAGATTTGTTTGGTCTAGATTGCGTAGGTATAAATACACCTCCACCCTACCTAGGTTATTCATCTAAGAAATCTAAAAAAAAAAGTATTCTACACAGTGTCTTGTATTCTTAATAAAGAGTGCGAGTGTTTTCCACAGAGAGTTGTGTTCAACAATTGGTATCAGAGCAAGGTTAGTGTATGTTATCTGATCTCTTGGAATTCTTAGTATGCTATGTGGTTGCAGCTCTATCTGATCTTCCACATCAGAAACGATTTCTTGAGATTAGTAGTGAGTGAGTTTCTTTTGTGTTGTGAGTAGTCTGTGACTCTGCAAGTCTTGTGTCGAAAGAGCTTGTTTGGTATTACTGAGGTATAGCCAACACGATGGGTGATTTCCAAATCGTTGGAGGAATCAAGAAACTCAACAACAACAACTACAACACGTGGGCAACATGCATGATGTCCTATTTACAAGGACAAGATCTTTGGGAGATCGTTGGCGGGTGTGAAACTATGCCGCCAGAGGAGGATTCTAACGGCGCCTTGCGCAAATGGAGAATCAAAGCAGGCAAAGTAATGTTTGCCTTGAAGACCACAATCGGAGAAGAGATGTTAGATCATATTTGGGATGACAAAACACCGAAAGAAGCATGGGACACATTCGTGATGTTGTTCTCAAAGAAGAACGATACAAGGCTACAACTTCTGGAGAATGAGTTGTTGTCAATTTCACAACGTGACATGACGATTGCTCAGTACTTCCACAAGGACAAGTTGATTTTTCGAGAGATTACTGAACTAGACCCGAAGTCCGCCATTGTAGAATCTTGAATGAAAGAGGATTATAATCCACGGATTGCGGCCGAAATATCGAAGCTTCATTACTGCTATACAAGGATGGCGTACTCAACCATCACTTGTAGAGTTCGAAAATTTGTTAGCCAGCCAAGAACCCATGGCTAAACAAATGGGAGGCATCACATTGAAGGGTGAAGAAGAAGCACTCTACACAAGTGAAAGTCGGAGCAATAATAGGTCGTCTATCAAACGTGGATACAATGGTGACAAAAGAAGAAGCTACCAAGGAACTGCACAACCTGAGAGAGCTCAGAAGAACGACAACAAGAGTTTCCAAGAAAAGAGATTTGGAGGTATTTGCTATAATTGTGGGAAAAAGGGCCACATGTCTAGAGATTGTTGGTTCAGGAAAAAGTCTATTGAAAGCAATGTGGCAATATCCATAAAGAAGATAGAGGATGAATGGGATGCAGAGGTACTATGTTCCATAGAAGAAGACGAGCTAGTACTCATGGCGACAATGGAAGACCATATCAATTATGAGAATGACTGGATTGTTGATTCAGGATGTTCAAACCACATGACTGGCGATCGGAGAAAATTGCAAGACAAGAAAGAGTACAAAGGAAGTCGTATGGTACGCACAACAAATAACACACAGTTATCAATTGCTCAAATCGGCAATACGACAATCATGCCTGGCAATAAGTCTGATACAGTGTCACTACATAATGTTTATCATGTACTGGGTATAAAGAAGAACTTGTTGTCAGTGTCACAACTAACAACATCAGGAAGCTACGTCTTGTTTGGGCTAGAAGATGTAAAAGTTTATCAAGATGTTAAGATAATAGGAAAGCTGACAATAGAAGGACGAAGAGTGGAGTCTGTCTACATCCTATCTGCAGAGTCTGCCTATGTTGACAAGACCCGAAAGAATGAGACGACAGATCTATGGCATACAAGATTGGGACATATTAGCTACCATAAGTTGAAGTTGATTATGGAGAAATCCATGCTCAAAGGTCTACCTCAACTTGAAGTCAAAACAGACGTTGTCTGCACTGGATGTCAATATGGTAAAACTCATCAATTACCTTACAAAGAGTCAAGTTTCAAAGCAAAGAAACCATTAGAGTTAATTCACTCTGATTTGTTTGGCCCAGTCAAACAAGCATCAATCAGTGGAATGCGGTATATGGTGACATTTATTGACGACTACTCAAGATATGTGTGAATTTTCTTTATGAAAGAAAAGTCTGACACGTTCTCAAAGTTTCAAGAATTCAAGATGATGGTCGAAGGAGAAGTAGGAGTGAAGATTCGTTGCCTACGTTCAGATAATGGCGGAGAATACACGTCAGATGAGTTCGATCAATATTTACATGAGTGTGGGATACGACGTCAATTTACATGTGCCAACATGCCACAACAAAATGGTGTAGCAGAAAGAAAAAATCGACACCTTGCAGAAATCTGTCGAAGCATGTACACGCAAAGAACGTTCCAGGAAGATTTTGGGCTGAAGCCATGCGAACTGCTGCCCATGTGATCAACAAGCTTCCTCAACCAATGCTAGGATTCGTCTCACCATTTGAGATACTATGGGATATGAAACCTACAGTTAGTTACTTCCGAGTATTTGGTTGTGTTTGCTATGTATTTGTGCCTGACCATCTACATAGCAAGTTTGACAAGAAAGCAGTCAAGTGTGTATTTGTTGGATACGACAATCAAAGAAAAGGATGGAGGTGCTGTGATCCAACAAGTGGAAAATACTATACATCAAGAGATGTAGTTTTCGATGAAGCATCTTCATGGTGGTCCTCGGAGAAGAAAGTCTTACTAGATTCAAACATCGAAGAAGTTCTACAACAGAAGATGGGGGAGCAAACTACACAAATTCAATCAAATGTTGATGCACCTGAAAATCCAAGTGACATTGATATTGACAAGGAAGAGGTGACTCAATCAAGTGAATCTGATAAAAATGAAACGACACATCAACAACTTAGGCAATCAAATAGAATCCGAAGGCCAAATCCTAAGTATGCAAATGCAGCTATTGTAGAAGATAAAGTTTACGAACCAGAGACATATGAAGAAGCATCACAAAACTCGGTTTGGCAGAAAGCGATGGAGGAAGAATTTATAGCCCTGGAGCAGAATCAAACTTGGGAACTAGTGTCAAGACTAGGAGATGTCAAACCCATCTCTTGCAAGTGGGTCTACAAAATAAAGCGTTGACCGGATGGATCAATCGAGAGATGCAAGGCTCGACTCGTGGCTCGAGGATTTTCTCAACAATATGGACTAGACTATGATGAAACATTCAGTCCAGTGGCAAAGATTACTACAGTATGAGTCCTGCTAGCACTCGCAACAAGTAAAGATTGGAAACTGTGGCAAATGGATGTGAAGAATGCCTTCTTGCATGGAGAGTTAGACAGGGAGATTCATATGAACCAACCAAAGGGATTTGAGAGTGCAGCAAATCCTAATTATGTATGCAAGCTTAGAAAAGCTCTTTATGGACTGAAGCAAGCACCAAGAGCTTGGTATGGTAAGATTGCTAAATTTCTTACCCAAAGTGGTTATTTAGTTGCGCATGCAGACTCAAGCCTTTTCATCAAAGAAAGAGAAGGAAATTTGACAATTGTGTTGGTCTATGTGGACGATTTGATTATCACCGGGGACGACAAAAGAGAAATTTATTAAACAAGAGAAAATTTATCAGTACGTTTTCAGATGAAAGAGCTAGGAGAGCTTAAACACTTCTTAGGCCTAGAAGTTGATCGCACAGATGAAGGATTGTTTCTCTGCCAACAAAAGTATACAAGAGATATGCTTTAAAAGTTCAACATGTTAGAGTGCAAGCAAGTTTCAACACCGATGGAGATAAATGCCAAGATTTGTGCACATGAAGGCAAAGAGTTGAACGATGAAACAACATACCGACAACTAGTAGGTAGTCTTATCTACCTAACTTTAACTCGGCCTGATATCTCTTATGCAGTTGGGGTTATGAGTCGATACATGCAAAGTCCAAAGAAGCCTCATATGGATGCAGCTCGACGGATCTTGAGATATGCCAAATGTACAATCGACTATGGTCTTTTGTACAAAAGAAGCAAAGACTGCAAGCTAGTTGGATACTGTGATGCTGACTATGCAAGAGACCACGATACTCGGAGGTCAACCACTGGGTATGTGTTCAAGTTTGGTTCGGGAACAATTTCTTGGTGTAGCAAGAGACAACCAACAGTATCATTATCAACTACAAAAGCAGAGTATAGAGCAGTGGCTGGAGCAGCTCAGGAAAGTACATGGCTGAAACTCTTGATGGAAGATTTGCACCAGAAAATTGACTATCCAATATCACTTCTTTGCGACAACCAATCTACGATTCGCCTAGCAGAAAATCCTGTGTTTCATGCTAGAATAAAGCATGTGGAGGTGCACTACCATTTCATTAGAGAGAAGGTCCTAAAGGAAGAAATCGAGATGCAGCAGATCAAGACAGATGACCAAGTGGCAGACTTGTTTACAAAAGGGCGGAATATTGGCAAACATGAGAGTTTTTGCTGTAAGCTTAACATGGTACAGCGAATGAGGACTAGTGCTGAGGGGGAGGGTTGAAATATCATCACTAGCCCAATAGAGTCAAACCCAATAATTGTACGAGCCCATTGTATATTTATTTTAATAGAGATTTTAGGAAAGATATCTGATTTTAGGAGAAGAGATCTTGATATTTTAGGAAAAAGATTCAGATTTGTTAGATTTAGATTTAGATTTGTCAGGTTTAGATTGCGTAGGCTCTAGTATAAATACACCTCCTCCCTACCTAGGTTATTCATCTAAGAAATCCGAAAAAAAAAAAGTATTCTACACAGTGTCTTGTATTCTCTTCTCGATTGGTCTTAATAAAGAGTGTGAGTGTTTCCCACAGAGAGTTGTGTTCAACAAGAGAGCTGCAGAATAAAGTAATTTCTTTTTTCTTGTCCTTGTATGTGCTTCAAATCTCCAAGACACTTATTTTCTTATAATGCCAACTGGAGAGATAAAGAGATCTTTACTCTCTCAGTTGATATATTAAGTCTGTGGCCTGACTAATGTATTTTTACTTGCTTACAATGAAATGGCATGTGGTTCTTCTTTTCAGTCCCTTCAACCTTTTTTCTTCTTAATTTGCTCAACATGCAGGAAGCATTGAAAAGGAGGCTTAATGCAAGAATAGAGTATGCTAAGTTCCTTCAAGACACGGCCAAGGAAATGGCTAAAGAAGTTCAAAACTCGAGAAGTGGAGAAATTAAGAAGACAGCTGAAGATCTTGATGAGTTTTTGACCAGGGTAATTAATTAACAAGCTGCTTTTCCTAGTTTTCCTTGACTGAGTATTTTTTGTTACCCATATTATATGTGTCTGCAGTTGAGGACTGGTGCACGTGTGTCTAATGAGGAAATCTTAGGATTTGCCAAGCTGTTCAATGATGAACTCACATTAGATAATATCAGCAGGTTGCTATTTATAAATTCTCTTGTATGTTAATTAGTTCATTTAGTTTCATATGTTTAGTACGGATAACTTCTCTCTTTGATGTCTAATCTATACCCTTTGTTTCTTTTTTCCCTTCTGTTATCAGGTCTCGATTAGTAAATATGTGCAAGTACATGGGCATCAGCCCTTTTGGGACCGATGCATATTTACGTTATATGCTCCGTAAAAGATTGCAACGGTAATTTTTGTTTTTCTCAATATTAATCTGCAGCTTCGAAACACACTTGCTCCCTTCTCTCTCTCTCTCTCTCTCTCTCTCTCTCTCCCCCCCCC